TTCTTATTTAGATGTACTGCTCAGCCGTGAGAGGCTGAAAGCTTCCAAGATGAAAGGAAACATGCACGAATCATTATTTTCAAAGGTTACCAACTCAGAATATAAATGTCAAAACAATGTGCAAAACACAACCAGACACAAAAGGTAGGCAGTCTATGTTCTTTGATTTATGCAGCTTTAAAAAAAAGTACTTGTTGGACGGTTGAAGCTGATTTTCTTTACTGACGTTCAGATTTCATTGACGTTTTCTATTATACAGTATCTTACTGTATCTGAAGGAAGACCTGCAGACAGTAATGACCCATTCTAACAATTTGAACAATTCACTGCTGAAGGGGAAAGCAATTTATCCCAGTATGCAATGAGAACAAGGCACTTTATCTTGAATCTAAGGTCAGACTCAACATCAGCCAAGCAATTTTCTAATTTCCAAATTTTCTGCACACGTGTTTTGAATAAGCGTTGCCTTATCTTCTTGTGAGCGTTTGCGAAATCCGTACAAATGCATCCCCTTGCTGTGAGGCAACATCAAATTCTATAATGCGCAGGAATAAATTCTCATTTTATGTCTACAATACATCATAAAGTAACACCACGGTTTACTGATGAGTAAGAAGAACTACTTTATTTGTGCCGTTATCAAAGACCTCACAGTTCTATTTATGACTAACAATATTGTTACAGTAGCCATTTAGTGTAAGACTTTATTGCCATTGTCTCCCATTGAAATTCATGAAGCAGCAAAGTTAAAAAGTGGAAGGTGTTTAATGCCGCATGAGGCCTGTGTGTTATTTACCTGTGTTTCCTTCAGTGCTCGGTGCTTTGAGTGCACCGTTACTTTGTTCTTGTCACTTTGTTATTCGCTAACCCTGGAAAGCCAGCACAAGAAGTAGCTCCAGTTTAATTGCTTCAGTGCTTTGGTGGCTACTCCTTTGATCTTTTTTGGCTACTGTAATTATGCCATTTCCTGAACTTTTTTTAGACATCTTGAGCACTAAATAACTTTACTTGCCTTGGGAGAAAAATCTATCTCACTCTGTCGCCTGTTACCCGTCTTAATTGGCACTTATTTTCTCCTTTCTTTACATCTTCTTGTCTGCATACAGAGTCCAATTTTCACACAGTTTTTTAGTCCCTGACACCACTTATTTCACATCTTCCATGCTTTGTATCACATTATTCTCAGATCCTTTGTTGTTTATCTCCATGTAATGCATGAGGAGCGAAAAGACAGTCAGTGGTTTCTGAGCTAATTTAAAACATTCCATCTGAAGTTAAGGCCACTAACCCTTTTCAGCTTACACAAACTATTGTTTCATAAATTTTCAATCAGGCTCTTATCTTTGCAGTTCCAATAATGACTTAGCATCCTATTTCAGCACAAGATTTTATCATTCTGGTTGACTTGGATATTGACTTTGAAATTTATCTTTAATAGGAAATGCTACAACAAATGCTGAAGTCACTAATTTTATCATCATTGCATAAATCTTGAAATAAACAGGGCTCGGTGCTATCTGGTTCTAGACATCTTTAGATTACACAATGATATGTACTGTTGTATTACTGTCTGATTATAATATGGTGTTCTAATACATTTTTCTAGTAATTTAAGAGCATCTAAATGCTTCTTTTTTTAAATCCTACAAATGTGGGAACAATAGACTTATCCGGTTTGAGCAGGGGATGCAGCGTGGTTGCAAACTTTCCCACAGTGCTGGAAACCTGATTTAAAGATGATTTTGTAGTGCACAGAGGGCTGTTAGATTTCCTCCAGAGGAGGGGATGATCATCACAGTGGATCACAAACTCTCTCTACAAAAACAAGTTCTTCCACAGTCTGACCAACCGCCTCCACCACAACAGCTTTTAGTCTTTTGGACCGCCGAAGGTTATACATTTGTGTCGGGTTTTAGCTTGCACAGCTTCCCTTCTCCTTTGTAGCCTCCACTCTGATGAGAGCAGCACTATAAAAGGTGGTAATAAACGCACACATGTTCTTGTTTCAATAGATTTGGCTTTACATACTTTACACGAGTTCTGTGATTAAAGGTGCCTTTGACCCTTTTTATTCGGATATAAAATGAGCAGATTATGCAGAAGAAGTTCTAATAAAGCTATTAAAAGGGAAACAGTTGCCACTTTTAGATACCGTGTTACTATGTCTAAGCTAACGGGAGTGTAAAGCTTTGTTTCTACCATAAAGTCAACCAGAGTCTACACAAGAGTTAGAAAACATAAGCAATCAAATCTCATGACTCTACATTATAAGATCTTGGCTGTAGCAATGAGTCACCCAATTCACTTGTCAGCACACAAGATGATCTCATGTTACTAAATGTTGTCAGAATGTCACATTGTTTAATTATTCCACTGTAGTTTGGTGCTTGATTGCGTCACCTAATGATGTTCATTTGTGAAATAAATAGCTTTTCTCTCTCTCACTCTCTCTCAGGCACACAAGCAGCCTCTTCTTGCAGATTTGAAGTGTGCCAGAACAATATTTTATGCCACACGGATCTTTATCACAATAGAAGTGTGATCATAAACGTGATATATGAAGATGGTGTTAGGACACCCCTGCAGAGCATGTTTATATAATATATCTTGGTCACCATGGTGTGGCAAGATGACAGTGTTCAGGGATTCTAATCTGCAGTCACACTCGCCCCATCCTTAAAAAAAATACATAAACTTCAAGGTTACAAGGATTTTAGAATTGGCAATACAGCCTTCCCTTATATACTGACATTTCTACTGTGACATTATTGCAAATACAGTGTCTGTAAATGGATTTTTCGTCAAACAAAGCACATTTAACAGAAGTCATCCATGGAGTTTAATGTACAATCACAACCGCAAAGCCTAGAGTATCATAAAAAGTCATCTTTAGAGAAAATCATGTAGCCCCTGAAAATGTCAAGCTTCAACGTGAGTCACTGCAAACAGCTATTTGTGTTGTATGTACAACAAAAATGTTATGTCTGTATATCGCCTTATAAAGTCTTCTATGCTGAGGAATATAGATCAATAGCTTGTGCTTTTGTTATTCTTTCATTCCTGCTGTGGCTGATAACCTTCTCCTGGTCCTGATTTCATAATGAGAACACATGACACCAGCACCAGAGCAGCTGCTGCAACACAATACAGCAGAATGACAAAGCAGATAGACCCCATTAATCTCAACTCATGGCCTGCATACGGCAACTAAGAAAAAATAATAATAATAACTGCACGCATGCCTTGGTTACTATTTTTGTGCATAACCTGCTCAGATGTGAGTTTGTTCCCCTGTTGTTTCCTGCCTGGATAAGCATAGCTGAAGATGGAAGTGTTGGCAATAATGCATGATAATGATAATGACCATCCTGTCTGATTTCATTAGGCGAACACATGACAGCAAGCGCTCTGAGCTTCTGCTGTAACATCCTGCAACAAACTGACAAGCCAAAGACGTGATTATCACTACTTACTGCATCACATACAGCTGCTTGAAAGGAGGGTGGGGAAAAGACATAAATGCATAAGAGTCCCTCAGCACACATTGTTAATTCAAATCAAAAATCCAATGAGGCTCAAGGGTACCAACCCTCCTATGGGGGAAAACTCATTAACCTCTGTTTTTAGGACTCAACTCTTTTATGTTAAAACCTTTATGATAATGTGAAATATCCGTTTGATCCAGTTTCTCTAAGTCGTTCTAAAATCTTTACGTGACACACCTGTTTACTATTTCATCAATAATCTGTCAGATCATGCATCATTAACACCTTGCATGAACTGCATGAACTTTAACAGCACTGAAGAGGTGGAGTGCTCCTCATGCATCACTAATGCTAAAGAGGGTGTGTACAGTAGATGCAGCTGGTAGTGTTTTTTCAGCCACTGCAAGCTGCAGTAACACTCTACAGAACCATGCATTTGGTCTATACCTACATCTTCCCTGGGGGGGTCTTGGAAGGCATTGTGCAGATAAAGCAAAGATGCATGGGGGGAGGTTCACTTGACTTTACAGCAAAATACTGACATCTGACCCCATCTCTATCTAACAGATTTACAGTCTTAATACTTCTATGCAACCTTGATTTTCTAATGAGCTGCTGTTTAGGTCCCTTGAGTAATCAGCATATATTTACAGAAACCAGACCTCTTCTGCAGTCCAAAATTAGAATAGCCGATGAAGTACAGTAAACAACTTCTCATAGGGATTGAAACTAAAGCTGAATGACGAGAAGGGCTCAAAAAAATATCCAACGTGCAAACATAATTATCATCAGTCACTCACAGCATTAGTGAGATCATTATCACACAGCAACTCAGCTTGTGCATCCCTTTTTATCATCTCCAAACCCTCGTGGTTGATTACTCAAATCAAAATGTGATTGGTTCCTAACTCACACAAACGGTGCAGCACTTGCCCGGGCCTGTGTGACACAAGTCATCATTAGGCTGCATGTGTTTAACGGTTAGTTTGACTCAGCAGCAGTGCTCTCAGTCCACTCTCTGAGCACAACCAGGGCAACTTCACCCTGCTGGGAGAACCTCGGCAGCTGCTGTAAAGTTTAAACACATAAATAAATCAGTGGTTTTTCGCATCTTCTTGATGCAAAGACACACCCGAGCCCCCTTTTTTTCTACAAGCACCTCTGTCTGTGGGAATGAAAGTCATGTATCACTGGGTAACCATCTTATTCACTGCACAGGACTCCAGTGTGACCCGGCTGCTTTAGGCCCAACATGTCCAGACTGTTAAACAGCACCTTTGCCAACAAGAAGTGCTCCACCACGTGAGCAGAGAACATAAGACAGACAAAGACAAATAGTAGATATATATGGGTAGATTGGTAGATAGATGGGTGGATGGGTAGATGGACTTATTTTTCTCAATATTTCATGATTCTTGTTCCGTGATTTGATGATGGAGACATGCAGCCCACCCACACATGTGCCAGAGCTGCCAAACTCCACCTGACATTGATCACCAAGTCGACGGGACTCACCAGAAGTGGAACTAATGGTGCAGATACCAATAAAGGTTTGATCCCAGTGCACATGATTCAGCTGGCGGCACCCTCTTCTTCTCTTTCAATAAATTCACAGCGAATCGCAGGCGGCAGCCGGCGTTCATTAATTCCAAATTCACGCGTAAAAACACCCTCCCCCATCGAGAGTTTGGCGCTGCAAAATCCTGGAGGACGTCAGGGAAAGCGTCAATCTGAGGCTGGAATGTCACAAACCAGAAACACAGAAAGGTGTCCCCAGTTACCTGCGGTGGGGGAAAATAAAAGCCCACCTTCAAATATAAAATAATAATAATAATAATAATAATAATAATAAATTCCCCAGAAAGAATCCAATTAAAAAGGCAGTAAAGATTAAATCTCCTGCTCGGATTAAAAAAAATAAAATAAAATCCGAGTTTAGGAGAGTGTGAGACCTTCCAACAAAACGCTCGTTTCTGGATGGTTTTCTAACGCAGAAATCCGGTGGGTTACATTTCCTCCAACTCTCACGCCTCTCGTGAAACGCAGTGGAGATGGTGTGTCGGGATGGAGAACTGCAGTCCGGGGCTCTTCTCACAGGCGCTCCTGAAAAAATAAATGAAAATAAAAATAATAATAAAAAAAAGCCTGCCGGCTGGAGGTTGGCGTCAAATTGAGGCTTAAAGAAAACTCTCCGCCAACACTGATGTTCTCGTTCCAAACGCGGTCATCGCGCCCGTTCGCCGCTCATCACTGGAGCTGTTTGTTGTCATAACTTCCTCTGTCTGCGGCGCAATCAGGAAGGATCCCACCCATGGACTGATAGTGTGTTTATTCCCCCCCTAGTCTCTTCTGATACTATGCGCAGTCATGCGCGCAATTAGTTTTCATACACGACTTGGTCCATCTTCCCAAAACAGCCGAACGCGGGTCGATTTCTCCGGGGCGGGATGTGAGGAGGAGGAGGAGGCGGTGGGGATCTTGCTGTGTATCCCGGAGGAAAAAAAAAACATGCGCCTGCCTCTGCCTCGTTCATGCAGACGTCCACCTGCGTAAAAATACGAGCGCGGCATGGAGGAATCCACGCTGACACGCCATGATGATGTCTGGAGCGGAGGAGAGCAGAGCCAAGTGGACAGTTTCTTGGTTATCACAGGAAACGGCTGACACCTTTCATGGACAGTGCAGCACTGCAGCAATGTGATGTCATGTGAGCTGCATTTAATGGAGGGGGAGAGAAAAAAAAAGGAACGAGGCAAAACTGAAGGTTTCCTCTCCGTCTGTGGGGAGTTTAAGGTGGGTTTATTTAGACAGAAGGGTGGGAGGTGTTTGTGATGCTCCGGGCTGGGCTCCTGGTCCAGCACAATATGATACTGCAACAGTGGAGGGAGGGAGGGGAGGGAGGGACTGAAGGGGAGATGGAGAGGAGGTGGTAGGGTCACTCAATGCTGCATTTCAAAAATAACATTCGCCCGTCTTTAAGAGAAAGTAGTGCTCACTGCTTAATGGCTTTTCTCATTCTTGAATCATGGATAGCAGAAACAAAACATTCCTCGACCTCCCACATGTTTTAGGCAGACATCACTTTCCTCTGGGACAAGCACTTTGTCTCTGCCAACAAACATGAAACATCCAAGAAAATGAATATACATGTTTATGTCCCCAGCTAGGGAAAAATAAAAAATAAAAACTAGATTAATCCTCTTAGTGTAGTGAAAGAAATCCAGGGATCACCCATCCTTCATCATGGAAAAAAAAGCTGCAACATGTTCCAAATGTCCTCCTTTATGAATATTGATCCCTGCTAGGATTTTATCTGCTTGCATGGAGGCCAGACAACCTGAGACAAGAGGAGTTCTGGCAGATTATACAAATCCTGTCAAATCTGAGCGATTTGGCTGCAGGAGGTTTGCACATGCAGTCAGTTTTACTATGAAATGTTGGGGTTAACAGACGTGGGACGCATGGAAACTCCAAAGAGAAAATCCACATTTTATGTACTGTTAATTTAAATGCTTTGCGCACAAATGCTACCTCGTTATGAATATATAAAAAAAGCAATCAAATCATAACCTAACAGGTCCCAAATGTAAAGCTGTAATAATGGTGAAATGATAAGAAATAAAAGCACCATGAATAAAGCGATTAATTCTAATACAGTACTGCATGTGCACACTTTATGGCCTTAAAGTGACCACTTTAAGTGGAGTAAATCTTTGCAGGAATATAATTTTCTCTTAGTCACCGGCTTGCAGTTGGGAATGCCTCTCACTGCGTTAGGAGTCGCATCTTTCTCACCGTTTTTGTTTTCTCACTCCAACAATTATCCGATGCACCACTGTTTGTAAAAGGAGCACTGCTGTATTTCAAGGGCACTTGAAAATGACTACAAACTTGACAGACTCTCCGAAATAATGCATTTAGATCAAAACTTGCCTCCTCGTTTCCGACTCAGCCACAAACTGAGAGCAACAGTTTGTCTAACGAGGTTAAAAACACTCGTTTAAATTTAAACACACCCCTCCAGTTCGTTTCGGGCCTTTTCAATAAACCCCTTTTCTGCGTATCATTGTGCTGCAGAACGCGCCGTAAAGTGCAAGTTTTCGTAATGAGATTACGCCAAGCCTGATCTGAATGAGGATGTGTGTTTTTGAGGTGGGTGAGCGCATGAGACGCATGCAGCGAATACTGATGGCAATTGAAAAACAGCCATGAAGGAAGCCAATCTGCTATTTATATCAGGCCGCCTTCCACGGGGCTAAGCTCCCTCTCTCAGTAATGCACTCTCAAAGTGATTGATTAGTCTGTTATCGAGATATTGTCCATCTTAACAGTCCTCACTCCCCGAAGTGATGAAATTACTGCACAGTGGTCTTTGAAAGCATAATAGCAGATTAGGTCAGTGTGATCCATCCGCTCTAATCAGGAAACTTGCCATCCCCTAAAATGCAAAATATGAGAAGGGGATCTGCAGTCAGTTCCAGTATACCCCACACAGCCGCTAATATCCTCTGAGGTGTGCCTAATGACCTGGAACATATTACATGCTGAGGTTGCTCAATTTAGGATGAGGTGAATGTAGTCCTGTGCATGTATCCATCTTAAAATGTCTCTTTTCCCCCCTACTAAACACAGATGTCCTTGTTGCTGTTTCAACAAATTTTTTGAATCCATTTCTATTAAGAGAAGCAAAATTTCTCAATTTCTTTTTTACCCTGCCTGAGCCAGAGGACCTTTAATGTCCTGCTCTGTCGTTTCAGCCAGTGACTGAGTGGTCTCATGTGTATGCGCACCTTGAATTGGGATTAAAATTAACACAGTGACAGGCACAATAAAAATCTGCCTACAGGAAGAGAAGCATCGTTGAAGCTCGTACGGAGCTCTGTAATGGATTAGAGCGGTCTTAATTCAGTCACTGAATCACACCATTACTTTCAATCACATAAAAAGGTCCTATTTTACATACTATATATGTAATTGGATGCCTTTAATATTTCTTCTCCTATAAATCACGAGACTGAAGTTCGGAAGTTTTCCAAGAAAATCACGTAACGCTATCCTCCAGTTTCTTGGCGCATTTGCTGATGACACAAAATCATCTGCCAAAACATTTTAAAATGCAAAATAAAAATATATCTTTTTAGTCTGACTGCTGTTACCTGACAAACAAATATGTTCATTTTGATCCTACCACTCACAGAAGAAAATTTTAACTCCTTAAAATTCTATTCAAAATCAGCCTTTTATTGAACAAAAACACTCCACAACACACGAGTGAGCTTTTAACCTTTTGCACTTCTATTAAACCCATAATGTCTTCTGATTAATATCTACTCATTACTCGTCTTGATTCAGAATATGAGGGGTCTAGGAACCGTGGAACATTCTTCCTCTGGGAGGCTGAGCAGCCAACTCTTGGGGTTTCTTTAAATTCACAGCTGAAAATCTGTTATTATTTTAGAGTTTTAGTGGCTGACTCACCTGCTTCTTCTATGTTTTGTTTTGTTTTTACATTTAAAATTACTGTTTGTTTGGTCTGGGTTTTGATTTTTATGCAAAGCAGGTCACAACTAAGGTTTGAATGATTCTGTAAAAATAAAACTTGCATAACTTTTACAGTAAGTGTTTTAAAATGCCTTATAAGCTATTCCTGAAGGGAATAAATAGGTATTGGCAGATGGTAGACTGCTCTGTAGAAATCATCCAATATATTAATACTTATTTGACTTATTTCCTCCCAGATTTTAATAACTTAGGTAATCAATATTTGTGTAAAATTTAAAAAAAAAAACATCTATTGGGTTACAGTAAACTGGCATGTACAATAATTATAACAAACAGATTTTAAAAAATCCCTTCAGGTTGATTAGACAGAATTTCTCAGAAGTGAAGATGGGCAGAAGTTCAGTCTGTGAAAAACTATTCAAAACTAATTTCAGAATAATGCTCCTCAGCAGAAACTAAACTGAATTTTCCATCATCTAGATTTTCTATCATCAAATGATTTCAAGATTTTTTTTACATGCAAAGGACAAGACTGATGGTCAATATTGGATAAGAAGCCTCAAGTAGCACTGCATTAACAACAGGTCTGATTTTGGATATCTCTGTGAGGTCAGGAGCACTCTACAAAGTAAACACTGTCATTCACAATTGCAAGTTAAAGATCATGCAAAGAAGAAGCCATTAGTGTATACCAGCCGAAAAGACTCTCATATAAATTTTAACAAAATGCAAATAGTCGCATTCTGTTTTAATTTGTTTTGCATGATGTTCAAACCTTTTTTGGAATTGCGTGTACGTTATGTACGTTTGTATTTACATTTCTTGTGCACAGTAAGTGCTTGCTCTGCTCCAGTGACTCTTTGCTGCTTCAGAGAGTCTCAGTGTGGTCTTTGCATTGTAAATTTAAAGACAGACACATACCTCCTGGGGAAGTATGTGATACAGTTCACTTGCACGCATGCTGATTTTCTATACTAAAAAAAACAAGAATTATGCTTATCTTTCTGAACACAAGAGGAGTTTTATAACTAAAAACAATTGAGTTGCAAATGCATTCGTTATTGTTCCGTAAGTGTAACTGTCAGTGAATTGGAAACCTGCTACAGAGAGCTTTTCTTTCATAACAATAAAAAATTATACAATCAGGCATAATTAAAGATCTGACATTTTATCATGCTGAAACAGTTTATGATATGGTTAAAAAAATAGGATACCCATTTAATAATCCTGGGTTAGGACTTAAGAGAAATTATTCAAAAGGTCGCTGTCATTTAACAATAAAATTTAAATTACCTTCTTCCAGACCAACAGAGACATTCTCTTTGGCAATTAGAGAAAGAAAAAAAAGGGGCAGACACATGATGTCTGGTCTCCTAAAAGTGGCTTTCTACATGATTTCTTGACACTCCATCTCTTAATGGAGCTCCTGCACTGTTATTCAGTATTTCAAAGAGCACTCTGTCTCATTTTTCACAAAGACATTAAATCATCCATCATTTCTGTTGTTTTACACTTAATGAATCTTTGCAGGCCTGCAGTCTTACAAATGTTTTATGCATTTCTTGTATATGGTCAATTAAGACTATCGGCATTTGGGATGTTATTGAATAGTTTTATGCTCGACTGCAAACATGTCACACTGACTAGGGGCTGAGTGCGGTGGTTTCTGACAATAAAGTATTGTCTGTTCTTCCTCAGCAGCAGATGGATGTTTTATTTATTTATTTATTTATTTATTTTTTATTTATTTATTTATTTATTTAATCTTTATTGCGAATCTGAGGCAAAAGCTTTTTTTATACATGGAACGAAAAGATTCAATTCAAGTCTCTACAAAAAAGATCTGCATACATTTAGGATGACTTTGATGTGTAAAACATTACAAGATAACACTAAAACACAACATTTAAGAACTCACAATTCTACTCTCTAACAGAAACAGAAAACGTCAAGACATTATGTATTTTGTGTTTCTGTTGCAGAACAAAGCTTTAAGACCAACACCACCAACTGCTCAGCAGTTTCCCTACATGTGAGACTGCCCCTTGTGGCTGAAACCTGTTATAGCATGTAGGCGTAGAAAGCAGTTCGTGCAGGGATAGTTAATCACTTTCTCTTTTCTATTGTGCTTTCCAATTGGTTGCTGTATTTTCAAAGAGGATCATTTTTCATGCTTGTTGTTTTTTATATTTTTTTCCTGTGTCAAAGGCTAAGTAATAAATGTTTACACAAAACCTACTTTGTAAGATG